GAAAATATAAGAATGGAAATAAAGAGTTTGTAAATGGGAAGGGGAGGAGGGGGTGAAGGGAGGGCAGGGACAAGGGGAAAAAATGAGAACCAAGAACTGTCATGTAAAGGTACAAGATCCCATTAATGAATGTAACTGTATTGTAGACCTAGATTGTACCAATAAACTCAATTAAAAAAACAAAACAAAACAGAATAAGATATAAACACATGAAAAGCAAAATAATTTAGCTATTAAATAAGAAGGTCTGAGGTATTACAAACTAGTGTCTGATTAAATACCAACTTAATGGTGTTCAAAGTATATTGAGGTGAGAGATGAGCATGATGGTCAGAGCTGTAATCCCAGAACTTGGAGGCTGAGGCAGGAGGATGGCTGAAAGTTCAAGGCCATCCTGGTCTACATAGTGAGTTCAAGGCCAATGTGAACTACAGAACAAGACTGCCTTAAAAAAGAGTATATTGAAGCCAAGAAAGAGAGTGCTCCAAACTCAAGCATAACCGATGTCGATTCTGCACAACTAGTAACCATCCTGTCTTTTGCAGAACAGGGGAAAGAGGGGAAAGGAAACAAAGGCAGAAGATAGCTATCCAGCCTCTTTTTACCCCTCATTGCTCACACAAGTTGTCCTGTACTTTGTCTTGTCAGGAAATGTGGTCACTGAAGATGCTTTCTCAATGTGAGAGGAACAGGGTGGTGGCTGTTCTTCCCGTCTTTGTGTGGTTTAGCAAATGTTTAGACTTTTCCTTATCAGAATTATTTGCTTAGTGGCGTATGAAAGGGAGGACAGTCATTCCTTGGTGTCTGCATGGGGATCAGTCCCAAGATACTCAAGTATAAAATGTTGTAGTATCTTCATCTAATCTAGGCAATCCTCCTGCATATTTAAATCATTTCTATATTAGTTACAAAACTCAATACAATGTAAATGCTTTGCAAATGGTTTTTATGCTGTAATGGGCAAGGAATAATAATGAGGAAAAAGTCTAGACCTGTTCAGTACAGACAGTTTGAGAAGAAGGGGACATTTTCAATCTAAGGCTGATTGAACTGATACCTATGGATCGGGAGGGGTGACTGCATTAAAAAAAACATGGCTTGTACCTGGTGGATTTCTGATTCTAGTGAACTGGGACTCCATAGAAACATCACAACATAAAGGGAGTACAGAAAATTAAAAACCATCAAGCACTAGCCTCTGGATTTTCCCCTAGCTAAAGTCTACAAAATAGATATGTTGCTTCCTAAACCCAGGAATGAATGACTAGGTCCATTAAATGTGCAAATATTTCCATATTAGAATGGTCTAGGATTTGAATGAAAAATCTCTAAGATTAAAGGTGCTTCTCCGGCCAGGGATTTAGCTCAGTGGTTCCGCCGCCTGCCTTGCAAGCACAAGGACCTGAGTTCGATGCTAAAGTCTACAAAATAGATATGTTGCTTCCTAAACCCAGGAATGAATGACTAGGTCCATTAAATGTGCAAATATTTCCATATTAGAATGGTCTAGGATTTGAATGAAAAATCTCTAAGATTAAAGGTGCTTCTCCGGCCAGGGATTTAGCTCAGTGGTTCCGCCGCCTGCCTTGCAAGCACAAGGACCTGAGTTCGATCTCCGACATAGAAAACTAAAACATGACACTTAGACCTCAGAGATTCTAATACTTAGAATTAGTGAATTTTTAAACAATACACTTAGAAAAGCTATTTCCAATTTCTAGGTATTTCTTGGGTGATGCATAATACATGTAGACATGGAAAGAAAAAGCTGGATAATCCCCAAATTATCACCACACATCTTACCGAGTAAATGAGAAGATTATTGTACTTTGTGTATTCTTTTTAAACAGAAATTCATTAAATGTTTAACAGAGAAAATGATCCTTTGGGGTACGCTATTAATAAATGCTGCAGATCAAAGGTTGACTGATGAAATTTTGACTGGAATGTATAAGAAGGCAAAAAAGAATGAATATAAAGGCAAATTTTGTATAAGTACTTATTAGAGAAATAGTCACATGAATATTTTATGTAGTAATGTATTCTCAAGTTTTATTTTTCTGCTTACAAAATTAACACGCACTTAAAAAGGAGATTTTAGAAAGTATGGAGAGGAGAAAAAGTAGCTGAAAAATAGATAAAAAGAAAGGAGTAATTCCCAATATCCTCATCTTCCCGAGTTAGAAATTGTTAGTATTTTAGCTTATTTCCTTTCAGTCTTTTATATATCCCTATATTTACCAGAGATTATATCTATGTATAATTTTGTATTCTTTCCTTTGCATTCTATATCTTACCAGAGGCATTTCCTCAAAACAATGCAAACTCTTTCTAAACATTATTTTTAATAACTGCAAAATACTTGACACGATTTATTTAAAATTTTACTCATTCTGGATAAACCTGTTTCTCTTTTGGAAGTCTTGCCAGTATAATTCTATAGCTAATAACTTTTTGTATAAATCTTTTTTCTTATTTCTGATTATTTCCTTGACCTGGAAAAGGAAACAGTAGGTCAAAGAGGTTGAACATTTTTAAGTCATTTGATTGGTATTGACAAATTCAAATGATTTTATAGATGTTCACTTTTTGGAGGACTATGAATGTCTAATGCCATAGATGCTCAAAATAAGGGTTGCAGCCTTCTAGTCTTATTTAATTTCAGACTTTTCTAGAGTATCATCACATGCGGTGAAAAAGAACTTTCAAAAGTTTCCACTAACCTGTGCTTTTAGTTGGTAACAGTAATCCAAAACTAAACATTATTTCATATCAGCAAATAATAATGACAATAAAATCCCCACAAAGGACATGGACAATCATATTTGAATGTTTTTCTCAAATATAGTCCTGAGGAGCCCTGGAACATAAGCAATCTTACCTGAGTCTATCTGCCTGAGCCTAATCACTTTCACAATTTAAATGGGGCCTGGCAATATTTTTCTTTAAATAACAGTGTTATGTGTGTTCATTGTGGAATATTTGCAAACTGGAGGATACTTGAGGGAAGGAACAAAATCATCAACCACAGGTAACAGTTAGCTTTTTGTTTTTGTGTTTTACTCAATGAAATTTTCTTTTTTCTTTTTTTCTTGGTACCGGGAATTGAACTCGAGTCCTAGCGCTTGCAAGGCAGGCCACCGAACCGCTGAGCTAAATCCCTGGCCCCATCAATGAAACTTTTTATGAGTACATGTTTGCAGTACATATTGATTATATTCATCGTGGGGAGCTGGTGTGTGTACAGACCATGTCTTAATTCTTTTTACTTCCTTCTCTTCTCTTTTTCTACCCTGCTCCGTCTATCTTTTGGTCCTCTTCCCTATCTCCCTGTTTCTTCAAGAGCAAGATAAAAGATAGATAACAAGGAGCAATTACTTTTTTGGTATATATTTGTTCTTTTATTTTTCTAAGTAGTTTATTACATGATGTATTCTGCGTCTTTCCTATGGTCTAAAGAATGCATTTTCTCATGATTTGAAATTGTTTATAATTATTTATTTAATAGATCAATAATATCTCATTGTCAAATATCACATATCAGCATTTATATTACTTAATATGGGACATTATTTATTTCCAAATACTATAATATTTATATTATAAATAAAGCTATATCTCATTGTATAAGAATCTTTCCTTACTTTACTTCCTCAGTATAGATTTCCAGAAGCAGGGACACTAGGACAAAAGATGTTTAAGTTTTAAACTTCTTGATATTTTTAAGCAACCTATTCTTTTTTCCATGTGAAAGAAGACTGTCTTCTAACCATGCAAACGAGTGGAAGAAATGAAAAAGAAATGTCTAAACAGGTTTTGGCATCAAGTAGATACTGGGGTTCCTTTCTGTAACTGAAATCAGACTATTAGGACAAGGGACAAGCCTAGCTAACAGTGTGGGGCGAAGTTCAGAGTGGGTTTCTATTCTGTGAGAACAAGTTTGTTGAAAGATTACCTTAACCACAAAGCAAAAGAAGAAACACTAATTGCAGCCATACTTCATGAATCATGCCAAAAGAGCTATACATGAGCAAGAGGAAAATATACTTAAATATACTTTATAAGGAAACTATATACAAACACACACAATTTAACATACATACTTAGAGAAGCTGTGATTCCGTAAGAATAGGCAAAGGCCACAAAATGGGCAGATAACTGGGATGAGCAATTTATAAAATAATGAAATAAAAAGCAAGACCAATAGTTAACCTTATAAATCAATAAATACACAGGAAGTCAAAAGTGGGTATTTTTCTCTTGTCAAAATGGCAAACACATAAAACATCTTTTCATTACTGATTGTTGGAAGTGCAAATTGATAGACCTTGGTAGAGGGCAGTTTTGCAATGTGTGATGAGAGCCTTCCATTATTTCACCCTCTGACCTAGCCCTTCTATTTCTCATACTTTTTAGTAGGGAAACAATGAAAGATTCACAAAAATTATGTAGCTGGGTGCTTATTATGACATTATTTATGAAAATGAAAAAGTAGAAGTAATCACATGATGGGGTATTATTAGCAGTTGCAGTATGTTTTGAATGAGTTAGGAATGCCATAGGAAAATTTCTCAATACCATTTAATTGAGACATCTCAATACTCATACTATAAACAGAATTAGCTATTTATCTATCCAAAAACATTAACAGCTATTATCTCCAAATGAAATTATTTGATGATTTTAAACATTTTTCTTAATAATTAGAATAATGTGGTTTACAAATTCACAACTATGAAAATAAATATAGAAGTTTTATTACAATTTCCTATTGCTGATTATAAAATATGACATATCAACTAGGAAATGCTAAGAAATGTTTGTTAGATATTTATTCAAGGCTTATTAATGTTCAATAATAAAACTTTAGTGATCTCTATTATTTGCAAGGTGGTGCATATTGATAGGAAGGGAGGGAGAGAAGCCCACTGCATTGATCTTGTAAAAAGCATAAGGAGTCTGAGTCATAGTCATCAGCCCTCTTCCCACTCCACACTCACCTATCGTATCCTAGCTTCTGAGGAACCAGCATCCCCAAAAGGTAAAAGGTCCCCAGCACAAGCTTCATTCTTCTGCAAAGAGCTAGAAAATCCTGAACCTCTCTTTCTGGCTCTAAATCAAGGTCTCTGAAAATACGTAGAGATATTGTAGCCACAATCAAGATAAGATAAGTCAGCCAGAGGATATCTCAGCAGAAAAAGACTCAAGCGATTGCTTCATTAATTGCGTCAGGTCCTCTAAACTTCCTTTAACAGTGAAAAAACACATTATCATTTAATATTTCATTTCTCCTTTAAAAATAGATTTATACCAACTCTTGAGTCCATCCGGTAGAGAAAGGAATTTCCTCTCTAGATGAAGTCCCTTATCACTGGTCTCAGGAGCTTCTTCCTGCTCTCCTTCCACCCTGGCCTGCTGGTGACCAGAGTGGAGCGCCTTCCGCTCTTGTTATAGCATGCAGGGGCATTATTCAGAATCTCTACTCCCCTCTGCAGTCTAAGGCTTGTTTTGAGCCAAGTGACTTCTATTGATCTGCTGGAGTGCACCACCTAATTCTTAAACCTATGTATGACTTCCAAATTTTAGCAGCAAAAACAGTTAACCTCCCCAACCTGTCAGACGTGCCTGAGTCTCAAGCAGTTACCAGTCATAAAGTTGCCCAGTGAAGGTGTTAACTGAGCAAGGCAAACATGAGTGCAGAGCTGGAAGAGGATTGAAACAGAGTTTTAGTGACTTGGGAGCCTACTATGCCTCAGAAACCCAGTGAAGAAAGCATCTTAGAAAGTGGAAGTTATCAATTGGGCAAATGCTAAGAAGTAGAGTCAATGAGAATTGAGAACTAATCCCCCTATATCACTCAGGATGGAAGCTCCTGGGAATCTCGAAGACAGCAGGGGCTGTGGGCATGTGCCAGGGACAAAAGCCTGCCTGATGCTGTTTCCAGAAGGAAAGAAAAGTGGGGAAGCAAGTATAGGAAACTCAGCACGGCTGGTCTAAAATAATGACACCCTGAAGGAAACTTCATTGTTAGGACCTTCTATCATCTACCTTGAGGTGTACTTAATTTACAAATCTTGAATTTGGATCTTGGGATAAAGTACAATGTCCACAACACTCTCTCTCTCTTTTACCCAAGAGACGGGCAGAGCAGGCATCTCCGTGGTGCTAATTCTGGGGCCTGGGATTTCATGGATCAGTCAGTTCCAGAGGAAGGAGTGGGACTAGGAGTTGAGGGTGTCCTCCTTTCATTTCCTGCCAATATGGGCATGGAACAGAATGATGCACTGGTGCCTAAGCAAATAGCAAAGCCATACTAGGTCCTCCTGCCACGTACCAAATAAGCAAACCCTGCAGTTATTCTGAAATAAAAGAACATGAACAAAAATTAAAATACACAAAAATGCAGTCAAATAATACATGCAAATTTTCTGTAGAAACCTACAAATAAGTTTATTTTAAAACTTGTGTTGTGAGGAGTTGTACACATAGTTTTCCTAACAGTTGCTGGTGATTGGATTTTCTTCAATCCTCATGTCCAATTTCACTGTAATATGTGGTCTCCTGCCAACCCCAGTGGCCAAAGATTATCTTTCTGTGACCTCATGGAACATGAGCAATTACCCAGAGTACTTGGGGCCAGTGAACTGGAACCATGGGCTTCTCTCTAACAAGGGTGAATTATTATCACATCTTTCCTGGTGATTAGATTATTTCTTATCATTGTGTTTTATAGCTTTCTAGTTAGTCATCTCAATAAAATTTATTCACAATAATAGTGTTTCTTATTATTGCTGTTTTATAGTTCCTATAGCAGTAAAATTTATTCTCAACTCTGTTATTACAATATTCAACTACTAATGGAATTCTTGTTTTTATTTGATTGTGTTTTAAAGTCATAACAATAAAATTTACTCCCAAAAATATTACTGCAAGTTTTATGCTCTTTAAACCACTTGATAGCATGCCTACAAACACATGTAGTGCTTCAAGCCACAGGAGAAAAAGCTTGGCACAATATAAACATTGTTCTAGGAAACAAGGAGGGGAGCTGGGTCCTAGGACAGTGAGACTTGTGTTCTTTGGTAGATTTAAGTAATGGAATGAAAGAAATGAAAGGATCCTAGAGATAACTGATTTAAAGAAGGATTAAATTCTAATTGGCAGAAATGTTTGTGTTTAAAAAATAGTCTCTTTTTACTATCTGCCAAGGCGTACACATTTCCACTACCTTCATCTTCCAAAATAACGTGCTCTCAAAATAATGTCCATGATTTCTCTGAACTCAAAGGTGCATGGCTGGTTGCTGCATTAGCTAGAGGAAGGCTGCTATGAAACATTATTACCAAAGGCCAAGGTCATTCGATGGTAAACAGCTTTAGTGACTTAAGAATTGGAAGGCACACAGCCAGGTCAGCTCGCCACCTCTGCTGCTCCTTAGTTGCTGTCACTGAACCTGAACACAAGGATGTTACAGTAAACCTCATTATGTGCTATTCACATTTTATGCCTAGAACACTGAATCAAAGGACCTAGAACATCAATTGTAATCCACCTAGTGGAGCAAAGTACTGGTAATTCAAGCAAGAGGTATGTCAGACTAGCAGCAATAAGTTCCAGTTAAGAGCTTGGTCTCAAGTAAAAGATTGATTTATGGTCACACGGAGTAAGAAAGTCAGATTGAGTCGAGACACATGTTGGTTAATGTTCAGATTATGACCTTAGTAACAGAGGAAGGAAACTCTAGATTTGATTTTTGAGGCAGGACCAAGGACAGGTTCTCGTTCTGCCAGAAGCTTCAATAGATTGTTGCTACAGTAGAAAGTAATAAATAAGTGAGTGGATGATGGATGTGTGGATGGACGCATGGATGAAAGCATGCATGCATAGATGCGTGCACAGGTGCAGGAAAGGGTGTATAAACTGTGTCTATGCTCTTAGATGGTATAAGTCCATTGGCTGGATCTAACCACTCACATATACAGGGAGAAGTATAGCTTGCTGAGATCATCTTCCTCCCTTTATCCAGATGTAGCAGGTGTGCAGGTGCACAACTCCGATGCTACTTCAAGAGAAAAACTGCTGCTCATTTTTGGGGGTGTGAGGGGTGTCTTTAGAATCTGATTCAGTAATTCCAGCCTTGACTAAGTACTACCTAGACAGCCCCAATAAATGAATAAGCACAAAAGTAGTCTAAGTGCTGAACATTGTACCTACCAATGAAGGATGCTTCTAGGAGCAATCTTTTTGGAGCTGCACAGCAATCTAGGCCCCTAACCACTCAGTTCTCCCTTATCCCCCTCCTCTTTTCACAGCTGACTTGGATCATGGATAGAAGTTTCTCCCTGTCTTCTTTCTCTCCCTTTCATCTTTCACAAGAATTATACCTGGAGTTTTACACTTTTAACTCTGTCATGTTATCTGCTGCTCCAATGATCTAGACAATACACCAGGCAGACTCCAGGACAAATGGAAATAAGTTAAAACAATTTATCTGAGTCACAAGGATCTTTCTGGACTTCACACATAATTAAATGAAGAAACAGTCCTGAAGTTTGGAAATAACAGGGGTAATCCTATGTGGCCTGGCCTCAGCAGGCTTTCAAAACACAGCCAACAAACTATAGAACAGCACAGGCTAACTAACATACCAAACTAGTTGGCTTAGAAGAGAAAAGGAAAAGGTATTTTCTTTATTACGACTTGCTTTCCGTGTCTAATTTGCTCACAGCTGTGTGGCAAAAATGGAGTCTTCAACCTTTTAGTAAATATAAACTGCTCCTTGCCTAGCATTAAAGAGGCTTCCATTCGGATCATCAGGAGAAGAAAGGAAGCAGGAAGAAAGGGCATGATCTGAAGTTACAGGAATGGAGGAGGGAGGGTGTACTACCTTTCCACTGCTGGGTCACAGTGCTTCATAAAGCAATTTAATGGAGGAGAGACTTCATTTGGGTCAAAGTTTGAGAGGTTTCAGCCCATGTTCGGCGGACCCTAAGGCTGAGGTATCATGTTGTAAGAGCATGGTGGACCAGAGCTATTCATTTCACAGCATTGGGGAAGCATAAAGCAGAAGAGCAAAGGGCAAGGGACCATCCTCAAGGTCATGCCTGCATGATGAACTTCCTCCAAGTAAGACCTCCTTCTAATAGTTTAATAGTCTATGAACTTATCAATAGGTTAACCCATTGTTGAAGTCAGTGCCCTCATAATGTAATCACCTTGCCAGGAGTCTCTTATTCCAGGAAAGTTGACTCAAGATTAACCAGCACAGAGGGCAAGGAGGCTAAGGAGAACCCAAAGAGGAGCTTATCTTTCCCATAGAACCCTCAGCAACATGCCTGGACATAGAGGAGAAACAGAACCAAGGAGGAGTAGGGAAATCAGCTTGGAAATTACCACTGTATTCATTTCCACCTCTTTCAGTTGAACAATATTTCATTCAGCATCAGCCACCAATGAGTTTTCAAAGAGAACATTTCTGGCACAACTCTTAAAAGTCATCACCTTGAAAAACTTGATAAAGAAAGTTCTCCTGCTGCCTGCCTCACAAGCGCAAGGTTCTGAGTCTAACCCTGGTACCATTAAAAAAAATAAATAAATAAAATGTTTTGGGTTCTTATTCTGGTTCCACCATTTATCAGCCATGTAGTTTAGTGTGGGGATCATGAGAATTGGTTGTAAGTATTGTTAACTCTAGTAACTCCATATGTGTTAAGTTTCTCCAGTTTAGCAGGTAGAGTGTTTCCTTTGTGGAATTCCTAAAAGTTACAGTTTCTTGTCTCTGACCTTTAGATGTGTGGTTGTCCGGGTTACTACTACTCATGGTGGGTTGTTTTGGTGAACCTGTTTGCTCTTTTCCTGTGTGACCTTTCAGTTACTATGGTAAACCCATCCCATAATAGTTTGTGGTTTTTTTTTGCTTTAAAAGGCCGGTGCTTGCCGGCAATAAATGCCGCCTTGATCAGACTCTTGTCTTGGCGTCCTTCTTTTCTCTCTGCCCCATCTCCACCCCGCTGCTCTTTCAGGTTTGAGACACTGCTGGACAGTGCTCTGCGTCGCCGGCTCGCGACAGTTTAGGGCAAATATCACCTATGAGAAATCCCTTGGAAGACTTTAAAACCATCAAAATGTATGATATACTTAAATTGACACTAATAAAAA